ACACCCGAAAGAACACACACAACCCTCCCCCCACAACTACTTATGGGACAAAATACAAAAAACTAAGGAAAAAGGAAGGCAAATAATTGCAATTTAAGAGTGGAGCTGGTCAGGAAGGAAAGTTTCTTGTGTAGGCTGTTGAGAGCATCTTCAGAACTAAAGTAAGAGGCCTATAAATGCTGCACCTGTGGTGGGAAAGGCAAAGAGGTTGAGCCTGTGTAGTAATTCCCAGTGACCTGTCTGCTCACCTGTGACTCAGCTCTCCAAAGCTCCAAATCCGCCACTGGGAAGGGATGATGGTTTCTCTTCTGCAGTGATGCTTACTCCGTTACCATTCCCTCAGCAGGCTGGGAGTGAGCTGACACAGACAGCACTCCCAGGGCTGCAATGCTGCTCATCAGGCCTTTCACTGTACTTACCCCAACAGGCCTTCGCACCTGTAGCATTCTGGAAATGTACACTGCTCATGCTAGACAACTTTTCTGAAAAGCTACTCTTGTGATGTCACATCAACCATGTTAGCAACTGCTCCAAGTTAATCCAAGCCAGATTCAATTTCAGAGCTGAATCTGTCAGGTTTGGGAAACCTGCAGAGGGAGCAGCTGAATGCTGTGCACCATCTCAAATCCCTACTCGAGTCCTTACCCTCAAATCAAGTTCTCCCGGATCCTGATTGTTATTGCTGGCAAACTTCTCTCTTCTGTAGGGAGAGCAGATCACAGATTAGAGCTGAGTATTTCTGGGACAGCCATAAACAACAAAACCTCCCCCACAAAAGCATCCATCCCATGTCATTGGTGGTGCAGGACAAAATGAGAACATGAACAGTCTGCCATGGATTCTCGCAGGGCAAACAGGGACCTGCTGCTGAATGATCAGCTTTAGCTTTCTTCTCCTTAGGAAATATCTTTCAAAAGAGATCACAGAACCATCAAGGTTGGAGGAGACCTCTAAGAGCATCAAGTCCAACCATTAACCTGTCACTCTGCTGGAATTCCTAAACCAGATCTACCAGTGCCAGATCCAGATGCCTCTTAAACACTTACAAGGATGATTCTACCCCCCCACCCCCTCCCAGTGCCTGAACACCCCAACAGGGAAAACATTTTTCCCAACATCTAACCTGACTCTCTCTTGTCTCAGCTTATGACCATTCCCTCTAGTCCTCTCCCTGCAGCCATGGCAAGAGAGACCAGATCTGCACTTGTTTTGAGCAGCCGCTTTCAAGAAGTACTCAAGGAGCAAAACAGCATAAAAATTTGCATGAAATAAACATTCTTGTGCTCTGAAGTCTGAATCTGTTGTATGACTCTCCTCCAAATATTTCTGGAATCAGTATTTGGCATTTCTTCCAATTGTGAATCCTGACAGATTTGGAAGAATAAAACAGATACTGGTTGCACACAGTAATGACTTTCCTCTAAAATAAATAGTTCCGTGGTAAAAACAGAAGCACAAAAAACGAGAGTGCAATGAATAAAAAAGTTACAGTGTGATCTGCTTCCCTCTGAAACTGGTGGTATTTAGAGCATGTTAGAGGATATGAGCAAGACAGCAAAATACTTGGTACCTAACCAAAAAAAGGAGGGGAAAGCCAACCCCAACAAAGCAAACAGCCTATAGATCTTTCCGACAAACCTGCAAGAGCTAAAAAACTACTGATTCATATCTGGGAGATGAATTCAGTGGTCTGTGACCTCTGCTGGCCATGGGCAATGATGGAAAGCAAATGGCAGCAGATTCCATTTTCTTGGCTGCAGCTTTGCCTTCTAATGGCTGCTAGAAACAGCAAAGCATTCTGCAAACAGTGTCACTCTTCAGCCACACACAGGCACCACTCGGAGCAGAGGAAACTTCAGCATCTACTCTTACTTCGTGATGTTCATTTTTTCTGTACTGGAAAAAGTAAACTCAAGATTAAAAAGAAAAAAAATCTTTCAAAATATAAGCAGCTCAGAGCAAGGCTCAAATTGGACAGCAAAGAGGAAGTTCAGGAGCAGGTTTTGTGACAGGGATCAGGAGGTGTAAGACATTACACAAAAAGCTGTTTACCTCGAACATAACATTTCCCTCCTTCAGCTCCTCTTCCCTGGAACACTGCACAGCTTCCCATCCCCTCTGCCAGTTCGGAGTGTGTACACACAAAAATGCAGCCTGCAGTCCAAACTGCTTGCTTTAAAAAAAAATCATACCGTAATTGTGAGCATCTTCCCTGCAGTATCTCCGAGACAGTTTCCAGATCCTTCATAAAAGGAGCATAAAAATGTACATCTTCCCCAGACTTGCAGAAGAGGGTGAAAAAAGCTGCAATCCTCTCTGCAGAGCTGTCGAGCCAATGAACAATTTAAGTCTCATTTGATCTGTAATTGGAACAGGCTTTACACAGAACAAGAATCTTAACGCCTAGATAAGAGCTGCATTTTTAGTATTAGCAACGATAAGAAGGCTGGTTATAAATTTGTGCTGCCCATTGAAGTGAGAATTCCTAAATCTAGCAGCTGTAGCAGAGTTAATTCTTACGCTGATAAGGAATGAGAAAATGCATTCAGCTAAGCAAAGGAATTTAAAAGTGATTTATCAGTGCAAAGAACCTCAGTAGCTGATCGTTACACGTGTCCTCACATGTAAATACAGAAATATTTTAGACACGAGTGCCAGAACTAATCCCAGAGCAATTCAGCCCTGCACAGAACACTGGGCAGATCTGAGCCACCCATGGCACTCTCAGTGCTGGGGATCTGCAGTTTCAGCCTCTGGGAAGAGCAAGGGCAAGTCTGGCAACACACCCTGTTTCTGCTTTTCGAAAGCAAATGACGACAAACCCCATTCTGTTTCTTACAAACATATAAATTATTTTATTTACAAAGCCATGTTACAAAAAAAAATAATAATAAAGCAAAAAAACCAAAAAATACAATCGCTCACTAGAGAATATCTCCAGGCCCGGTGTTGAACCATGGCAGTATCAATCAGATACAGGTTTGTTCTGGTTTTCCTTTTTTAAACTGTAAGCCATAGAATTTACTATTTACACCTACTTTAGACATTTATTCTGCTTACAATTATCACAAGCATGGAATGGATTCTATTTGATACTGCTAATACATAAAGGTGCAGGACAAAGAATGAAAATACTTAGTGTTACAAAATATGGATTGTAGAAAAGAAATTGGCTGTACAAGTATGGCATTTTTTTTTTCTCTTAGAATGACTGGACATGCTTTCTTCAAAAGTCTTCTGGAAAAGGTTCTAAAATCTGTAGTAGGAAAGCACAATATAGCAGGTGCAAATTCATTTCTGTGCAACAACAGTTATTTAATATATCCCATGACTGACCAGCTATGCAAAACCCACAGAGTTTTGTTAAAGTGCCATGGGTCAACAGCATAACAAAATATAAGGTGTAAATAGAAAAATTTCTTTTTTTCTTCTTTTTTTTTAAAACAATAGTTCACTGAGAATCAGCAATAATAGAATATGCTGTATAAACTATTCTCTACAAAGGTCGATCAGAACTATGTACAATTGTTACATCGATACAAAAGAAGGCATACAAGTTATCCAAGTCGCTTTTTATGGCTGACAGGCCTATGCATTGCGGGTGTGAACAACCAAAGCTTCTGAGCCTCTATTGCTGGAAACAAATCACAAGAGTTTTCAGGCAAATGGGGAAGAAAAAAGAACTACTGAGTGAATGCTACACTAAGAATATGCATTATAGGCTGGTCCAGTTTGTATCCATTCGTGTGGGTTTGGTTTCTTTTCCCAAATTCTTACTTCCGTTTCAGGCGAAAATTTTTGACACGTTTTAATTAAGTGCTGATTCTTTGAGGATGAAAGAACACCATGGGATTTCACTCCTGAAATGCTGTCAGGTGTAAGCCAGTTGAAAACAAGGTTTAAGCAGCATTCAAAGGACAGGCTCTGTAATTCAGCTTTCCAAGGAAAAGATGCATGAAAACAGCTAAAGCTTCCTAAGACTACGAAATTGCTCCTTCAGTCACTGATTAGCATTGTTTCTCAGAAGCAACCACTGAATCTCACAACCACTGTTTTCCCTCGACAGCTACAAATAGCAGTTCATTGATTACAGAGGATGAGTTTGTTACTGAGATTTTTTCAAAATCCTGCAGTTTTAGAACTCAAAATAAATTAAAAAAATCAACATAGTACTGCTCCTAAAACTGAACAAGACAAAAAATTGTGCAAAAATAACAAAGATATGTACACATTTTTTTTCAGTCTGAAGAAATGTACAATAAAAACATAATTCAAAGAACATTTTAAAAATATAAACATTGCTTAAACTTTCCTAAGTTTCATACTGTTTCTGAAACTATACCGGTCAGTTAGCTCTGAAGTATAGCAAAACATAAATTATTACAAAATTAACACTATAAAAATTTATTTTAAGAATATTTCTAAACTTTTTTTTTCAAAGGGTCTAGCCTTGTTTATAATTGCTTAAACATTTTATTTTTAGTCTTAAAATTTGCCTTAAGCCTTCTTTTTTTAAAAAAGAAAGTAGTAATAATCTCCCTATTTGCAGTCTCTCGCCTTTCCCCAAGATGTAAATAAACCAGCATATAAGTGCACTTTTAACACTGTAGAAATAAAAATTAACTCCTCTGTACTATTGTTCCAGTACCTAGTATTGGCTTTCCTGATTATAAAATCTATATTTTATTAAAAAATTATTCAGTAATCCTATAAGAAACACTGTCAGTGCAATTCTATTAACGCAAGCCAATCTGCTCAAGTCCTGTCCTTGCAAACCCAAACCGCTCGCTCAGGTTATCAAGTGCCTTGTTGTTCTTAAGGGTCTAGAAATCCTCTGGGACACAGGGATTTTACACACGAGCACCTGATCACAGTAATTACAGTTTGGTGCAAAAATCCCTGTATAGATTCCTTAAGAGCCTGGTCCTGGGAGAGGCTGAACGCTCACGATCCACCGAAACGGTTCAACGCTGTAGGTACAGAGCACCAGTCAGGATTAAGTCCCTAAAGTTGCAGTGCCCCAGCTGTTTGCAAATTGTTAAGAAATGCACTCAAATTTTATCCATAGGACAAGCTTAAATACAGAATTACTGTAATTTTTATTCGATGAAAAAATTTGGAGATCCTTTAAATAAATTCAAATCATGATCTGGATTTTTTTTTTTTTTTTGTGTGTGTGTGTGTTGTTTGGAATGTCCACTGTGTTCTGGTAAGGAAACAAAGGGAGCATTGCAATGCTAACAGCTTTAAAAGGCATGAAACATAACCAAGCAGAACGCACAGATCAGTGGCAAATACAAGTGAAAAACTAAACAAATCACTATTACAGTTTTCTGTAAATTTAAATCTCTTTAAAACCACAAATTCATAAAAGGTTAAATCCATCTGCAGGACATAGAAAAGAAAAACCCTGTGGAGTAGGGCTGCTGAGAGCTAGAGATTATAGGCTGGTTCCTTTTCCTTGTTATGGAAGAGTCCTTATTCTACCAGTCCGGTTTGATGTCTTCTAAAAGAGAAACCAGAGCCAGGTTCAAAATCACACAATGTCTTTCGGTACATAACACTTCAACAACGTCTGTGTCTGACAGTACTCAAAGCAGGAATTTATTCCGAGTCCCTGAACTGCATTCCCTCCCTGTTTACTCACTACCTTTAAGAAAAGGAACTGCTTGGAATAAACAGCTTATTTCCTTTCGGGACTGTCTGACTTTGGTAAGCTTTGGTGAATCTCATGTTCATTAACTTGGTGCATCATTACAAATAAAGAGCAGCAATTAGACGACAACTCTGAAGAATCTTTTCCTCTACACAGCATGTTTTCATGCCCAAGGAATCCTCACACAGCACACACGTTGTCACCTTCCCTTAACAAAATGCTCTAGTTACTCAGTACTTAAAAACCACCGCAAACTGAGGTCTTGAAGTGTTAACACTTTCAGGCACCTAAAAGCACTATGAAGACAAAAACACTTGATTAGTTAAAAACCTGCAACAAGGATAAAATCTGGAGAAAACAAACTTTTAATACATCATTTGTATTAACAGGCACAAATAATTCGACCGTAAAACTACCGTTCCATTTGTATCTGTTAAAAACCAAGTAGTTTTTGTAGGGA